GCTGTTGCTGCTGCCGCTGCTGGGCCCGACGCCGCCAGTAGGCTGGCGGCTCAGTGCGGCAGCAGCCGCTTCGGTTTCTGGGGCATCAGCAGCAGCAGCAGCTGGTGCTGCTGCCGCTGCTGTTGCTGCTGCTGCTGCATCGTTCGCTGCTGTTGTTGGCGATGAAGGAAAGCGGACATTTACCCTGGAGCCTCCAGCACCAGAAGCGGCCGCTCTTGCTGCTGCCGCTGTTGCTTCTGATGCTGTTGTTGTTGCTGCTGCTGTTGCTGTTGCTGCTGCTGCTGCAGCTTCTGAGACAGGTACGAGGGTCGTGATGGGGGCCCCTTCACTCCGAGTCTGCTGATCGATGTTGCTGTCGCAGTCTACTGTTGCTGCTGCTGCAGCAGCTACTGCTGTTGCTGCTAATGCTGCAGCAGCAGCAGGCACAGTGTTCGTTCCATTTGGCACAGCTCCTGAAGCAGGAGCGGATGAAGCAGCAGCGGCAGCAGCAGCAGCAGGAGCAGCAGCAGGCGCGTCTCGAGGGGACGAAGGCTGCATGCCGCTCGGCTTGCTGCTGCTGCGGCTGCAGCAGATGCTGCAGCTGCAGCGGATGCTGCAGCTGGCGGTGCTACTGGTGTGCTGCTGCTCTTCCTGGTGCTGCTGGTGTCCCTCCTACTGCTGTTGCAGACAATGCTGCTCCATGCGCGCTTCGTCTGCGGCTCCTGCAGCAGATGTTGCTGCTGTCGTTGCTGCTGCTGCTGTTGCTGCTGCTGCTAGGACAGTGTCATGAAGCTTCAGGCGGCGCCGTTGTTCCTGCTGCAGTGGCGGCAGCAGTACCAGCTGCTGCTGCAGTTGCTGCTGCTGCTGCCGCTGCCGATGGAGGGATCGCAGCAGCTGTTTGCAGACCCCTAGAAAGGAGATAGCAGCTGTTCTTGGAGACAGCAGCAGCAGCAGCAGCAGCAGTAGCAGAAAGGGGACGAGGAGACACAGACACGAAGTTGCTGCTGCTGCTCTGCGTCTGTAGTCGGCTGCGGCCTACTCGCGGCCTTATTAACCCCGAAACCCTAAACCCTAGACCCTAAACCCTAAACCCTAACGATAAACCTTAAACCGTAATTCTAAACCCTAAACCCTAAAACCTAACTCATAGAACTAGAGGGTGAGCAGTTGGATAAACACACAGCAGGAGGGACAAGAGATCGACCTGCTGCGACGCTGCTGCTGCTCCTGCTGCTGCTACTGGTACTGCTGCTGCTGCTGCTGCTGCTGCTGTTACTGCTGCTGCTCACCAGCCGCATGCAGCATCGGTCCAGCCCCAACTGAATTGAGCGTTAATTGATTTAATTCTGCAATTTAAATATTCCTTAAAGGCAGGGGAACGGAGAAGAAGGGAATCGTATCCAGCAGCGCTGCCGCATGCAGCAGCAGCAGCAGCAGCAGCAGCAATAGCAGCAGCAGCAAATTTGTTAGAGTTTTATCTAAAGTCTTCTTTCTTTGGTTTGCTTCAGCCTGGCGCTGCTCTTCTTGAGAGACTATGCAGCAATGGCTGCGCCGCTGCTCGCTGCTGCTCTGGGTCGAGGGTGTTGGGGTTTAGGGTTTCCAGTATAGGGCTTCGGGTTTAGGGTTTAGGGTTTAGGGTTTAGGCCCTGGCCCTGGTCTCTTCTGCAGCTCAGCTGAATCCTTTTGTTGTCTTCTCCGCCGTGCAAACACCGCAGACCCCGCTGTCTCCTCTGTCTCCTTTTCTGTCTCTTTTTCTGTCTCTCTCTCTGTCTCCTGCTCTCTCTTCTGGCTGCTGCAGCCTCTCCTACTGCCTCGGCTTGAGTCTGAGCCACTTTGCTGCTGCTGCTGCTGCTGCTGCTGCTGCTGCTGCTGTTGGAGATGTCCGTCTTCCGGGGCCCCCTAGGCCTTTCCAGACCCCTCGCTGTTGACTGTCTCCATCCAGCAACAGCAGCAGCACCAACAGCAGCAGCAGCAGCAGCAACAGCAATAGCGACAGCAAGAGCAAGAGCAGCAACACGATCAAAGACTGCAGCAGGAGTGAAGAGCACCTCAACAGCAGCAGCAGCTGCTGCTGCTGCTGCACCGTTTTCATACTTCATGGGGTCTCCTGCGGCATCGCCTCTAACCCAACCAGCAGCAGCAGCAGCAACAGCAGCAGCAGCAGCAAGAGCAGCAGCAGCAACTCCTGTCTCCTGTCTCGCTTTCCAGTTTCGCTGCTTCGGCGCCTTAGATATATTTCATCGGGTTGCTGGCAGCAGCAGCAGCAACCCGCGGCTGAAGCCGTCCGGGGGCATTTCTTCTTCTTCTGCTGCTGCTGCTGCTGCTGCACCAACAAACATATTCGACACTTTCATGGCCATAGAACGCAAAGTTCGTCTCCATATGCATGCACTGCTGCTGCTGCTGCTGCATCCACTGCTGCTGCTGCATCCACTGCTGCTGCTGCTGCTGCTGCAAATGCTGCTGCTGTTGCCGTATGTGCTGCTGCTATTTCCAAGTACAGCTCCTGCTGCTGTTGCGGTTGAATGCAGGTGCTGCTGCTGTTTCTGCTGCTGCTGCTGCTGCTGCTGTTGCTGCTGCTGCTGTTGCTGCTGCTGCCTGCATGCATTTGTGTGACTACTGTCTCCTTGCTGCTGCCTGTTTGTTTGTTTTTCTTTTTTGTTTAGGGGAGAGAAGTTGTCTCCTCCTTAACAGACCGAGAGGGCCGCATGCAGCAGAAGCAGCAGC